ATTACTATATAAATCTAATGGTAATCTTAATGTGACAGGTTTCACAGATGCTGACTGGGCTGGTTCTCCCTCAGATAGGAACTCTACTTCAGGCTATTGTACACTTGTTGGTGGAAACCTTGTTACATGGAAAAGTAAGAAGCAAACAGTTGTAGCACGGTCTAGCGCTGAAGCAGAGTGCAGGGCGATGGCCCATACCTCTAGTGAGTTAACGTGGATACAACATTTTCTTGAAGAACTTGGGTTAATAGTCAAGACTCTTATTCCACTGTTCTGTGATAACCAAGCAGCTATTCACATCGCATCCAATCCGGTTTTTCATGAAAGAACCAAGCACATTGAAGTTGATTGTCACTTCACTCGAGAGAAAATATTGAGTGGAAACATTTCTACTCCATTCGTGAAGCCTGAAGATCAATTAGCTGATATGTTTACTAAGGCTCTTGGTCATAATCGGTTAAAAATAATTTGTTCCAAGCTGGGATTATATGATATATATTCTCCAGCTTGAGGGGGAGTGTTGAAACACTTATATGTATATATGTATTTATGTTGGGGTCTTATTGTAATTAGATATAGGGTTTGTGGCCATTATGTAATTAGGCCTTTATTGTATTGTATATAACTCCCTTTATGTTTTAGGTTTAAAGAAATATGAGAAAATGGGCTGAGCAATTTAGTCTCTCTCTCTCGTTTTCTCTCCTTCTCTCTGTATCTCTATATTCAATATATACAAATCTTCATTTCTACAATACATATTTTAGTGATAAAGGAATTATTCATCAAAATTCATGTGTTATACTCCTCAACAAAATTGAGTTGCAGAACGTAAGAATCGACACCTCTTAGAAGTAACCTGTGCTCTTTTGTTTCATATGCGTATGCCTAAACGGTTTTGGGGTGATGCTGTTCTTACTGCCTGTCATTTTATAACCGTATGCCGTCATCTATAATAGATGGCAAATCTCTATATTCTATCTTATTTCCCGATTCTCCCTTTTTTTCTCTTCCTCCTAGAGTTTTTGGATGTGTATGTTATGTCCACAATCTTGGTCCTGGTTTTGATAAACTAGACCCACGTGCCACAAAATGTGTCTTTCTTGGCTACTCTTGTTCTTATAAAGGTTATCGCTACTATAGTCCTGTTTCTCAACGGTACTTTATTAGCGCGGATGTAACCTTTTGTGAGTCCATCCCATATTTTTCAGATAATGATTCACTTCTTGATATCACTCCTGAGTCGCCTCTTCCTGCGGTTCCTCTTCCCTCACTTTCTCTTCAACCCAGATCTGCTTCACCTGCCCCGTTACAGGTGTACAAAAGAAGACCATAGGCATCTGCTGTCGTGCCTCCTCCATCATCTTCAGAGTCTTTGGATCCGACAAATTCCACTGTGTTTGATTCCTTGCCGATTGCACTTCGTAAAGCTCCTCGCTCGTGTGTTACTAAACATCCCATTGCTCATTATGTCTCTTATAATTCCTTATCGCCATCATTCTCATGTTTTTCCTCTAAGTTGTCTACTACATTTGTTCCTAAGACTGTGCAGGATGTTTTGTCTAATTCGGGCTGGAGGAAAGCAATGCAAGATGAAATGGATGCTTTGCATAAGAATGACGCATGGACTCTTGTTCCATTACCTCCAGGTGCCAAACCTGTTGGTTGTCACTGGGTATATACTGTGAAGTATCTTCTAGATGGGTCCGTTGAGCGTTTAAAAGCACGTCTTGTTGCCAAAGGTTATATCCAGACTTACGGTATTGACTATGATGAGACGTTTGCCCCTATTGGTAAGATTTCTTCTATTCGTGTTTTGATTTCTCTTGCTGCTAATAGACATTGGCCTCTCTTTCAGTTAGACGTTAAAAATGCCTTTTTGCATGGTGACTTAGCAGAAGAGGTTTATATGGAGCAACCACCTGGGTTTGTTGCTCAGGGGGAGTATCTTCACATTGTTTGTCGCCTTAAAAAGGCCCTGTATGGATTGAAACAATCTCTACGGGCTTGGTTTAGAAAATTCTCTGAGGCGGCATTAAAGTTTGGTCTTCACAGGTGTCAGACTGACCATTCGGTATTTCACCAGCGCACTAAAGCTGGCTTTATAATTCTTGTGGTGTATGTAGATGATATTGTGATCACAGGTGATGATTTTGAAGGCATTGCTAAGTTGAAGTTGTTTCTGCAATATCGATTCCACACTAAAGACTTGGGTAAACTTAGGTATTTCTTGCGTATTGAAGTTGCTAGATCCAAGACGGGTATAAGTTTATCCCAACGAAAGTATGTGTTGGACTTATTAGAAGAAACAGGTATGTTAGGTGGTCGTCCGGTTGATACTCCTATGGATTCAAATACAAAACATTAGCTGATGCGGGTGATCTATTTAATGACCCGGGCAGATTTCGTCGCCTTGTTGGGAAATTAATTTATCTCACTATCACTCGACCTGATATTTCATATGCTGTTAGTGTTGTAAGTCAATTCATGGGAGCCCCTAGAATGCCATATTGGATTGCTGTTCTTCGGATTCTTCGATATCTCAAGCGAGCTCCAGGTTTTGGGTTACTATATAAACCAAATGGTCATCTCAGGGTGGACGGTTTTACAGATGCCGACTGGGCCGGTTCTCCTTCAGATAGGTTATCTACTACAGGCTACTGCACATTTGTAGAAGGAAATCTAGTTACATGGCGAAGTAAAAAGCAAATGGTGGTAGCTCGATCTAGTGTTGAAGCTGAGTATAGGGCAATGGCCTATACCACTAGTGAGTTGACATGGATACAACATTTTCTAAAAGAACTTGGGTTGACAGTTAAAGCTTCTACTCCATTGTTTTGTGATAATCAAGCAGCAGTTCACATTGCATCAAATCCTGTGTTTCATGAGAGGACTAAACATATTGAAGTTGATTGTTATGTCATTCGAGAAAAAATATTACGTGGGAGCATCTCTACTCCATTTGTGAAGTCTGAAGATCAATTAGCTGATATGTTTACCAAAGCATTGGGTCATAATCGGTTAAGAACTATCTGTTCCAAGCTAGGATTATTTGATATGTATTCTCCAGCTTGAGGGGGTGTGTTAGAAGTTATATATATATATGTTGGGTCATTATGTAATTACATGTAGTTGATAGGACCGTTGTGTTATTATGCAAGACTTGTACCCTTTATATATAAGCCTACACAGGCTTATTAGGTCAGAGTGTTGCATATACAGAATATATGTTTTGCTCTCTCTCTCTTTCTCTCTCTCGATTTTAAACAAGCCATATGACATGTTTCACAGGATAAATCTGACACTGCCACGTTACAAAATAAGGAAGGAAATAAATGTTTCAAATAACCAAAAGAAATATGTCCTAAACGCATGTGCCAACACATAAGCTGAGCTTTATTAGATGAAACAATATTAGAAAATGAAGCTGAATGTGCTTGAGGTGACAAAGGAGCATCCAACAGGTATAAACCGTCCACTTCACGCCCATTGCCGATCGTCCGTTTCGACACCAGATCCTGAAAAATACAATGAGAGGGAAAGAACGTTACACTACAATTTTATTGTTTGGTAACACTACTAACAGAAATAAGATTTGTAGTCAACTTTGGAACATGAAGTGTATTTGACAAAGTTAATGAAGTGTATTCTCTGTTATTTATACTGTTTTTTGTTGGGTTTCAGGGAGAGATTATAGATCTATGGAGGAAATTATTGTTTTCTTGGCCTCTCTGAAGTTCTAAGGCACCCTTTGGCCCTTTTGTTTTCCTTTTGTTTTTCTGGGCTTTGCTCCCCTTTTGAGCGTTTTTAATAAAATCTTATTTATCAAAAAAAAAAAAAAAATGAAGGAGTAACTGAGATGTGACCCTTCCCAGCAATGGAAGATGGAGAGCCATCCGCAAGGCGGACCTTGCGTTGGCCAGAGCAAATACTATAAGATTGGAAAAGTGAGGACATATCAGTCATATTGTCTGAAGCACCAGAATCAATGATCCATGGTGTTGAAGATGTAGATACGCTATGTGTAGACGCAATAGTACTTGAGTGGGCTTAAGTGGAGGTTGGTTGAGATGATGCCTCCATTTGGTTGAAGAATTGCTTGAACTTGTCCAAATCAGCTTGAGTCAAGGTAACTGTGGCAGAAGATGTAGAGGCAGGGTTGTCAGAAGTTGACAACGAGATTGGTTGTGTAACAGAATGTGCAGAGGATCGAGTCTGTTGTTTCTGTTGCGGTGGACGTCCATATAGAGCATAACAACGAGATTTGATGTGACCAATTTTTCCGTAATGGTCACACCGTTCACGTTGTCGTCCTAGAGGAGGACCGGTGGTAGTGCTCTGAACTGACTGAGATGGTGAAGTTCCAGAAAGGTTGTGAACCCAAACTGCAATAGCAGAACGATCAACAGAAGCAATACCTAATGGATGAGTCCGGCAGCTCTCATTTGACAATGCATAGGAGTATGTATCCTCAAGAGTAGGGAATGAAGATAAGCCCAAAAGGAAATTTCTACAATGCTTTAGCTAATACTTAAATTGACATGCTGCAAAATTCATATTTTAAACTTGATTAGGTTTGGTTTGCGTACTTAATTTTTTTTTTTTTTTTTTCTTTCAATTTTTATATTTAATACACATTCCTTGGTTTGATCTTCGATGTGGCTCATGGCATATGTTGCACCTTGCGCTTAGGCTCCAAGAGACCTTGGCTTTTTGGTTCGCCTTGAGCCTTTAATAACTATGAGAGTCTGGTTGTCCTAGTCAAGCTTATGCTAATCTTTTCAATAAAATATTTTGTTATTGTCACTTCTGCCTCTTGTTATTGGTTTCCTAGTCATTCAATTTTTGTTGATTATAATGTTTTTTCCCCCTTTATGTTTTTGGTTGTTTTTTGCTTCTTATTAAATGGAAGGTTGTATGCATAGTGACTTCGCCATTGGTTCACTTGGTATATTGAACCTCTTAACACGGATAGTTTGTATTTCCTGCTTGATATAATATAGATGCTGAAGAAATTGAGTAAACAACTGAATGGTGAGGATTTGACATGGAACAACCTAAACACATTATGCTGGGCAATAGGATCTATTTCTGGATCCATGGTGGAGGAGCAGGTATTCTTTATCATTTTTAGCTTGATTTGTCCTAAATAACATGATATCTATATATATATTCATGTTTCGCATTATATCTCCTACATGATTTTTAATGTGTTTTTCTTTTTTCTTTTTCTTTTTGCAATAAATGTATTTTTCTCTTCTTGCAGGTTATATGGATTGGATATTTTATGTCATCAAGTTTACCATCCTTTTTGCATATCTTCTTGCCTTCCAGTTTAAATTTTTTTATTTTTATTTTAAATTTTCTATTAATTTTCATGTGTTCATATCTCTTACTATTGGAGCATTCTAGAATTGCTATTGAATCGCACTTTAAACTGAGCTAATCTAAGTTATCTTACTATGTAATGTCTTCTGTTAGTTTACTAAATGGGCCTGGAATGTAGCTGGGTTTATTTATTGTATGGAGGCTAGTGCATGATTGTGCAACATATATATATATATTTGTTTTGATAAGCAAATTTGAATTAGAAGGCATTTAAAAGGGTAAAGCATCCCAAAAGATACACAAGTCCAACGCCATGGCAAAAAGAGATCCTAAGAACCCAAAAAACCCAAAAAATCAACTATCTCCTCCTATAGATTTACAATTTCTCCCCATAACCAACAAAAAAGAGAGCTAACAATAAGAAATTTCCCTAACGGAAGATTCCTTTCTGTCAAAGGATCTTCTATTCTGCTCCTTCCATAAACACAACCAAACACAAAGGGGTGCCACCCTCCAGAAATCACAGGCGTGGGAGCCCAAATGACACCCTCTCCAAGCATCAATCAAACCTCTCGAAGATCGAGGCATGACCCCCTGAACACCATACAAGCCAAAGATAAGGCCCCGACAGTCGTGAGAAACTAGGCAATGCAAAAGGAGGTGATCAAGTGACTCTCCATCCCTCTTGCACATGCAACACCAATTGACAGTGACTTGTCCTCTCCTTCTCAAGTTATGAAGCGTCAATATATTGCCCCAAATTGTTGTCCATACAAAAAAGGCCACTTTGAGTGGAGCCTTAGAGCACCAAACCATCTTCCAGTGGAAATCCGCCCCTGAAAAGCCCGAAAGTTATCTAAACAAAGAATGAACGTCAGATCTCCCTTGGGAAGAGGGCACCCAAACGAGAGAATTCGGACCTCCACCATTAAACTCCTGTCTATACAAAAGCTCCACAAGATGATTGTGCAACGTCTTGTGAACATTCTGTAAAATAAAAGTAACATTTGAGGCTACTCTCATATTGTACAAAGCGCCTTATACATATTACAGTAATTATTGAGTTGGAAATATTAATACGCTTCAATAACCTATTCTCTTTTACTTGGGCCTACGCAACTTTTTCTTTTTGTAGTTTGCATTGAAAAAAAAAAAATTCTTTGTATACGTAAATAATGAATTAAGTAATACTTGCAAACACTATATTAATTTTGATAATTTTTAAATTGAATCAAATTTTAAATTGGTGTATGAATAATAGTAAGCAATATTTTGTGCTTTTCTTATAATTGCGGTTGCATGCATTCTTCATATTTTGTTATAGTATTTCTGTCTGTATTGTATTTTAGGCTTATTCACAGTCTAAAATTAAGAATTCTCTCACCTATACATAAATTTATAGTATGTTTTTTTGTTCATTTTGTAGGATTTTACGAACCTTGTTTCCAATTTTTGATTTCTATCACCCCTAGGATTAACAACCTTTATTTAGAGCTAAATGTTCTAAAAAAACTGCACTTCCAAAGTGTGTCATATATTTCGTTGTATTAATGTTGCTATAAGAAGACGTGGTATTGATTTGTCAAATTAAGGATGCTCCGGTGGAAAGTAATTTTGATCGACTTTATTTTTTGGAATGACAAGTTTTGAGAAATCAATAGAGATTTTCCACTCTATTGATGACAAGTGGAAATTGTCTAGGAGGGAAGAGGAATGCCTCTTGGAGGAGGGAAAAGGAATAGAGGCCCTATTTTGTCCATTTGTAGCTTTTGGGATGCGTTTCCCTCTTGAGCGCTGTTTATAATACTTGACTTCAAAAAAAATCTATTATTCCAAATTGGTGTTGCATGTGCTAGGACAGTAATTGGTTGGTCAAGTCCTTGTTCATTATATGATTGTTGTGGTGGTGTGGTCTTGTGTCTTGTTCAAGGTTTCCTTGATGTTCAAAATGAGGAAAAAGAATACTACAAATTTATGAACAGTTGGGATGGCTCGCTTTGCCATGTGATATTCTTCCTTTGCGTTCTTCCATTTTTCCTTCTCTAGCATTGTCAAGCCCCTTGAGAAACATAGCATTTATTCAATCCTCTCTCAGGATTCACTGGACCATGAGCATTCATGCTTTTAGCAGTTATTTTTCTACTGTAAACATCCAAATATTGCAATAAACTTTGAGTGAGTGGTGTATTTTGAAGCAGGCAAACTGCCGAGGCCAATTTATAGCAGCCCAAATTTTTAGCACCTATTTGGAACATGTACGTTAATAAATCATTTTTTTTTAATTATTTTTTTCTCATTGGCAAGAAACACACACCCACTTGCCCCTATGGGGACTTGAACCGTTGACCTTCTACTTTAGAAGGTGAGGAAGTATCACTAGGCTATAGCCTTTGGTGGTGTTATTAATTCAAATTTGTTTATACGCATGAAATTATGGCCAATTCCCGTTGTAACGTGCAAATGTCAACAATGAACTAACTAACATAGCAAACAACACTAGACATTGAATATAGACCAATTTATACTCAACCGAGCCTAGTGAGGCAAATTTGAATATTGGGTTACTTAATTTCTTCAGCTACTACAATACCAAATAACTTATCACACAAAGATTCCTAATTTCAAATTCTTCACTGCCAATGGGATAATGGCCTAATGGTACCAAGCCCCTGCTTCCCAAAGGGGTCAGGGGTTCGAGCCTTAGTGGAGGCATGCGTGTGTGAGTACCAACCAAGAAAAAAAAAAAAAAAAGATTCCTAATTTCAAATTCTTCACTGCCAGCCAAGTGAGTGCTCTGTATGGTATCTCAAGTAAATTTCGCCACTCTAATAGTGTAGGAAAGTTTTCGGAAGATATTTAGAAATTCAAAGCATTAATGGCCCAACACCGAGCTGTTTCCTGAAAAAATTGACTACAAAACGGTCACAATTGAAAATTGTTATTTAGAGAAGTCTGCTACAAATTGCATCAGCAACCAAGCTAAGTAACTAAATGCAACAAAATTTTGCAAAAGGTTTTATGTATTATCTTCATTTGATAATGGGTTTCAAATGATCTCACATGAAAACTGGAAACCATTTCCACTGTTTGGGAACTGCATATAGACCAAAAAGTCCAGAAGTAGATAGCACCAACGTCTGTTATGAAACTAACTCTGAAAACTGTAAAATTTAATGTCCATTATGAAAGTAACTCTTACAAGGGTGTTAGTGTAGGTTTCCGTTAACATGGAAGTTGAGTGTAATTAAGGCAAGCCTTTAAACCACCTCACCTTTCAAATAAAATAACACAAAAAGAACATTTTCACCCCCCAAATGGTGGAAAGCACCTTTCTATTTCTAATTTATCTTCTGATTCTGCTCTCTATGAAATTGAATGGCTTATTCTCATCAATTAACAGATTTGTTCATGTTAAGTTTATTAAATTGGATGGCATTTATGTCGACTTCATTTACTAATTGGAGATTCTGTGCTTGTCACTAACTGTTTCAGTGTGAATATTAATTCTCATGTCATGCTGAGGTGATCTCATGTTATATGGTGCTATCTGTTTTCTGATTCCATTTCCGTTACCACTTTAATTGATCCCTGTCCGGAAGGCTGTTTATATCACACGGCTTCCTGAATTTCAGTTTTCTGTCAGATTTGTATTTTGAAAACTTTCCCATTTGTTCTTCTAATATGATTTGTTAAAATAAATCTAAAGAAGTTATCTGTTACTTAAACTTCATGATGCATACCTGTTAACATTTTTTCATTCTCTCGAGTCTTGGCAGGAAAATCGATTTCTAGTGATGGTGATTCGTGATTTACTAAATTTATGTGAAATCACGAAGGGGAAGGACAACAAAGCTGTTATTGCAAGTAACATAATGTAAGAGTTCGTGATGCAAAAGTTCCTAATATATTTCGGTTCTTCTGGCTGCTTTACTACAAAAATTGACAAACAGCGAGGCAGTGTTGTGGAACTTTTCTATCATTCTTATTAGTAAAATTTTTAAAATCAAATGTTTTTTATGCTGTCTTTTTGTGGAGTAAGAACACTGTCTATAAGTTCAGAGCACTCTATGCTATGCTGCACACTATAATTGGTGAAAGTAAATCTTGTTTTGAGCTGTGTCATTAAATCTGTGTTTGTATTAATTAAATTTATACCCTTTTAAATTTTATTTGTTGGGTTGGCAGGTATGTTGTCGGACAGTATCCTAGATTTCTAAGGGCCCACTGGAAGTTCCTGAAGACTGTTGTAAACAAGTTGTTTGAGTTTATGCATGAAACACATCCTGGGGTTCAGGTCGTGTGATATTTTCTTTTCTTTTTAAATTCTTTAATTTTAGACATTTGTTTGTGATGAATTTTCTAAATTCGGCTTATTTAAAATATACCACTATCTGCTCCATTATCCTTTGTTCCAAATGTGAAATTGCATCTTTAGGAAGGTTTTAGAGAGGTGGTCTGTGTAATTGCAACTTCATAAATGCTAGTTGTATATGTGGATTCTGTAGACGCATTGTAGTATAAAGTACTAAAAAATCAAAGTTTTGATGAATAAGGATATGATTTGAGTTTTCTGTTCAGAAAAACATAAAAAAGGTTCTTCATTTAAGAAAAAAAAAAATGACAAATACAAATATCAATATCTTTGGGTGCGACCTTTTTTGTTGAAAATTTGTGGTAATTTTTTTTTTGCTATATATACATACATATATATATATATATATATATATATATATTGCTTCCAATATGTTATAGTTTCTTATCAACACTTAAATTTTACAAAATGTCAAAAGTTATTTTCATTTTGTGCAAATACGATTTTTAACACAAAGGCTAGTAGGCAGTGACGGACCCAGAGATTTGTATGAGAGGGGGCGGCTTTGAACAATAATAATGTATAGTGGGATATCATTCGAAATTGAGTGGGGGCATATTTAAAATCTTAACAAAAAAGTGGGGACATTTTAAAGATTTTTACAAAATCTATAGTAATTTTGTAAATAAAATAAATATCTGTTGGGCCGGCTGCCCCCACTGGGCCTTTCATGTGTCCGTGGCTGCTAATACGGAATCTAGTCAGTGCATATCTTATACAGTGTACTATGACATAAGTAATCAATTATGAAAAAAAATAAAAAAAAGAGGAGGATTAGTGTGCATTATTCTATTATTACGAACACGTGAAAAATTATGTGCAAAATTCAGTAGTTTCCATGATAATTATATTTCGATAAGAATATCACCAAAAGCTGGCAAATTGATGCTTTGATGTAATTAAGTATTGTCATGAATTGGCTATTAATATTATGTTTATTTACATATATTTAGTTTTTATTTAAAAAATAAATTTTTTATCCAAAGAGCTACTTTTACTACAGCTAGTTGTAATTTACTACGCCGGTGTCTCAAACAAAAACAAGAAATTTTGTGTTGTTTGTATATTTGATCAAACTTTACTGTCATCTTTTATTGGTTATAAATTTATAATATTAGAGCTATTTTATATAGTTCATTTTTTTATCATCTCTTGTAATTATTACTTATGTTTAGGTTTTTATTTACAGTACAAAATTTCATAGTACTTTAATTTATATTTAGTTATTTGACTTGACCATTCACACATTTTTACAATTCCTTACAAAGTTAACTACAGAATTCATGGTGTTACATTAATTTTGTACTCTACAACGTTTTTCCAATTATTGGAGGTTGATGAAATAAATCTTGTTTCGTCATTCCGGTCTAAGGCGATTGCCTCAGTTAATTTACATGTTATCAGCTCATTCCTAACGATATCAACCCATGTTAAGGTTCTCACTCATTTTGATCTCTCTTTCAGGATATGGCCTGTGACACGTTCCTAAAAATTGTTCAAAAGTGCAAGCGTAAATTTGTTATAGTACAGGTGATATTTGTTTCAATGTTTTTGCTACAAGTCCTTTCAGTTTTTCACTTTTTCTTTTGATATTTGGTATCTGTCAATTACATATATATTAACTTCATCATGAACTCTCTCTCTCTCTCTCAGGTCAGTGAAAATGAACCATTTGTATCAGAGCTTCTAACGAGTCTCCCAACAACTATTGCTGATCTTGAGCCTCATCAAATTCATATATTTTATGAATCAGTATGTCTATATAATGCCTCAAATTGTGGATTTTAATATAGAAATCTCTGTTTTTCTGCTGTAACAATTGCTTCCTCCCTTTCTTAGGTCGGTCAGATGATTCAAGCAGAATCGAATCCCCAGAAGAGGGATGAATATTTGCAGAGGCTGATGGATCTACCAAATAAGGCAAGATCTATATGGAAGTGCTTCTACTTTCTGGAATGTTGTGTTTATTAATGTTTTTCTCTCTCCAAAAGTGCTCTCGTACTTGTCACTTGAGGCTTTACAACCTGTCTGTCTCTCTCTCTATAATGCAGAAATGGGCTGAAATTATAGGACAGGCACGCCAAAGTGTTGATTTCTTGAAGGATCAAGAAGTGATCCGTACAGTGCTCAATATATTGCAGGTATGGCTTTCTAATAAATATAAAAGATTTCTTCGGATCATTGCAACTGCTTTGTTTGCAATACTTCTGCGACTTAATTATCTCATGAGGGGCATTGCTATAGGTATATGTCATATGATATTGTATCTCACTTCCTATGGGCGGGTTGGTTCATTGAATTAGAACCACCCAAGATGTAATTAACATTCCATTTTATATTTTTTTCACATTAGAAGGCACAAATTCAACTTTTAGTCGCTTTGCTTCAGATTTTATTAAAAGAGACTGATGCATAGTAAAATTGTTACCATAGCATATGTTCCGGTGGTTTCAAATTGTCTAGCACCGGTTGCTTGCTTCGAATTTGTATAAATGCCTATGACAAGGGATGGTGGGGGTGGCACAAAAAAATATCTTTTTGTTCTATGAACTTTAATGTGTATGCCTTAATGGCCAACTCTTCCTCTGACTCTACCATAATGGTGTGATTAAAAAAAGGGGTAAATTGTTGTCAGGGGCTTATTTGTTATTACTTATACAATGTTAGGGCTTATGTGTAATTTCTGAAACTTGTTATCATAAATAGAATGTTGTGGAAGGATGGAAGTATTCTTTCATTCGTTCTCTCTTTTCCCATCTCTCTCTCTTTTTCTCTCATCCGCTTTCTTCTCTTTTTCTTCTTCTTCTTTGTCACTTACTCTTGATTTGATTATATCTCAAAGTCAACATGGTATTAGAGCATGGTTTGTAAAGCTCTAGGTGTGTAGTTGAAACCTAGGGCAAGTTTGTGTAAACCCTAGTGGGTGTGAAGGGTTTAAAAGAGATTCCAAGATGGATTTGTTTGCAAGGAAGTAGTGTTAATCACATCCACACGTACCATGGATCCAACTTGGTTGGTGTTTTTTTCGTGCTCGCGAGGTTCTACAACAGCGGCTTTTTCTGCGTCATTCGCGATTCTGGTTTGGTCTACTTTGTTGCTTTCTAGGGTTTTTGTGGTGATTGTGTGGTTGCTTTTTTATGCATCTCAGAACACTGTAATCTTTCTCGTTGAAGTTTGTGTGTTGGAGAGGTGGTTCTCTATGTATTTTGTTGCTGTTTTTGTTTCTGAGGATTGTATACCCAGAAATTGTTTGATAAAATGTCTGGCTAAGAGGTGACTTCAAAAGAAGCTGGGTCTTCTCCTAGTCTGACTCCAGTATTGTGAGGTAGTAGTGATCACCATCCAGGCCTTTGTATTATGACTGTTAGGCTGTAAGAGACGAACTAAATGGAGTGGGCTCAATCTGCTCGTATGCATATCACTGGTCGTAGGATGATCGACCATATTGAAGGGACTGTCACGTATCCCTCCAAGAGCGATCCTGAATTCAAAGAGTGGAGTGCAAATAATGCACTAGTTATGACATGGTGGTTGTAGTCAATGCAACCACAGATCAGCAATGAGTTTCTGTTTGTGAAAACAGCTAAAGAGCTATGGGCGGCTGTGGAAGAGACATATTCCTCGGTTGGTAATTTTGCAAAACTATATTAACTCCAACAATGGATTTCAAGATTCAAGCAGGAAGACCAAACTCTTGCTACATATTACCACACTCTACGTGGTAAATGGGAAGAGTTAGATCACTACCAAGACTATATAATTGTGTGTGCAATTGACGTTAAAGCATTTCATGCTATGGTAGAAAGGAATTGAATCTATGAGTTCTTCGGTGGTCTGCATCCAAGATACGAGCATGCCAGGGTACAAGTGTTAGGCATGTATCCAACCCCTACATTTGTAAGAGATGTGTTTTCGTATATCCAGGCAAAAGAGAGTAAACTGAAGGTTATGTCTGCATATGTATACACTAAGCCTGAGTAAGAAGAACCATTGTCTGAGAGGTCTGCTCTTGCCACACAACAATGAAACAAGACCAATCCTCTAAAAGGAGGGAAATAGGATGACAAAAGCAAGTTGAGGTGTGATTACTGTGGGCGTACGCGCCACACTAGGGAAACATGCTGGAATCTACACGGCCGCCCTACTCCAGCTCCTGCTAATGCGAATGCTAGGCTAAGGCCCATTCCATTTAGGGGGTTATCTACGGCGCATACTGCAGAGCGTAAGACTGCTTCTACTGGTCATGCCTCGTCAGGGCCACCGAGTTCTTTGTCTAGGGCTAGACTTGATGCTTTCTGACATCTACTAGCACAACATTCCTCCATTTCCACCTCTAACTTCGCTTAGACAGGTACCTCTCATTCGGCACATCAGGTTTCGACATTATCTGGTGGGCCACCCTGGATCATTGATTCAGGAGCCACTAATCACATGACTGGTATGACATCTGATTTTTCTTCGTACAATTTATGTTCCGGTAAGGATAAGGTTAGAGTGGCTGATGGCACCTTCACCTCCATTGCGGGGAAGGGCACTGTTTCTGCCTCTCCTAATCTTACCTTATCCTCTGTTCTTCATGTCATAAATTTTACCAATAACCTCCTTTTTGTTAGTCACATTAAAAAAGGCTTGAATTGTAGTGTAATCTTTTTTCCATCTCACTGTGTGTTTCAGGACTTGGACACAGAGAAGACGATTGGAAGTGGACGTGCGGATAATGGCTTGTATTTGCTGAACATGAGGCCGACTTCTTATTATGTTGCAAATCAATCTAGTGTTAGGAATAGTAATGTCAATAAAGATCTGTTAATGCGATGGCATAATAGACTAGGTCATTTACCTCTTCCTGTTTTGAAGCATGTGTTTCCCTAGTTTACTTTTGTTGAATCTCTTGAGTTAAATTGTGAAACATGTGTTCTTGCCAAACAATGTCGTGGTTCTTATCCTACTAGTATTAATAAAAATACAGCTCCTTTACAGGTTGTTCATTCTGATGTGTGGGGTCCTGAATCTACTACTTCATTACTTGGTTTTCGTTACTTTGTTGTGTCTGTTGATGACTTTAGTCGATATACTTGGCTTTATCTTATGAAAACCAAAGATGAAGTTCATTCCATTTTTAAAACCTTTCATAGGATGGCGTGTACTCAGTTTGGTTGTCCTTTCAAATCCTTCGATTTGATAATGGAGAAGAGTTTATGTATGGTGGTCTTGCCTCCTTTTTTGCTGATAACAGGATTGTCCATCAAACCTCTTGTGTTGATACACCACAACAGAACAGTGTAGCTGAAAGAGAACACTGTTATATTATGGAGGTGACCCGTTCTCTTCTAAGTAGGATGGGGTGCCTAAAAGTTATTGGGCTGATGCAACTTTAACAGCTACATACCTTATCAATCGCATGCCTTTTAAGGTTCTTAGATATCAATCCCCCTTCTCTGTCTTACACCATGACACTACCTTGTTTACTGTCCGTCCGAAAGTGTTTGCTTGTTTTTGTTATGCTTACATTCATCATCACAAGGACAAAATGGACCCTAAGGCAATCTGATGTGTATTTCATGGATACTTTGCCCCTTAGAAAGGGGTATCGGTGTTATAACCCTACCACTCGTCGTCGCTTTGTCTCCATGGATGTTAGATTCTTTGAGTATGTTTCTTTTTTTTTTTTTTTTCCCCCTGCTCGGGATTCTCTCTAAGGGAAGACTACTATATAAGTAGAGAATCCATTGTCCATTCAGAGGGAATGCCCCTTTCCTTTGCCTGTTCCCATTCAGGGGAGCTTCTTACTGAGGTGCCTATGTCTAGTCCTCCTAACACTAATGATTTGCAGCAGGAAAGTAGCCAATTGTCTACACTAGGAGGCAAAACAAGTTATTGACTCGCCCCAGGACCAATAAGTCTCCCTCGATCCTGGTAATTCCTTAGTTGACATTGATACTCTTGATTCTTTTCCCAATAGCATTCCTGTTGATCCTGATGTCCCTATTGCGTATTGTAAGGGTGTTCGTAGTTGTACAAAGCATCCCATATCTCAGTTTGTATCCTATGATGCCTTATCTCCAACATATCGCGCTTTCACTTCGTGTATGTCCTCTGTATCTGTTCCTTCTAGTATTTTACATGCTCTCAGTCAAACTCCATGGAAGTAAGCTATGCTTGAAGAAATGATGGCCCTTGAGAAGAATAGTACTTGGGATATTGTTCCATTACCTAGGGGAAAGAAACCAGTAGGCTGCAAATGGGTCTACACAATAAAGTATCAAGCAGACGGAACAATTGAGATATAAAGCTTGGTTAGTTGCAAAGGTTTTCACTCAAACCTATGGAATTGATTATCTGGAAACATTTGCTCCAGTTGCCAAGATGAACTCTATACGTGTTCTTCTTTCTTTGGCAGCTAATTTGAATTGGCCCTTACATTAACTGGATGTAAAGAATGCTTTCCTTTATGGTGACTTGGAGGAAGAGGTGTATATGACTATGCCACCAGGGTTTAAGCTTGCTAATGGTTATAATTTAGTGTGCAAGCTAAATAATGCCTTGTATGGGTTAAAGCAGTCGCCACGTGCTTGGTTTGAGAGGTTCAGCACTGCTGTGAAAATAGTAGGGTACACACAGAGTCAGGCAGATTATACTCTCTTCATCAAGAAGCACCAGGGCTACAACATTGCCCTAATTGTATATGTTGTTGATATTGTTATTAATGGAAATGATCCAGAAGAGATTCGTTGAATGAAGTCATTCTTGGGGGCAAAGTTTGAGGTTAAAGACATTGAGATACTTTCTTGGCATTGCGGTGTGCAGATTGAAGAAAGGGGTGTTCATTTCTCAACGGAAGTATGTGTTAGATTTGTTAGCTGAAACAGGCAGGCTTGGAGCTAGACCTATTGATATTCCCATTGAGCAGAACCACATGCTTAATGATATAGATGGAGACCTATTAGATGATGTGGGAAGATTTCAGCGAGTGGTTGGGAGACTGATTTACTTATCTCTCACGCGCCCGGATATTGCCTACGCTGTTAGTGTGATTAGTCAGTTTATGCATGCTCTACGTACACCTCACCTTGAAGCGACTCATCATGTTCTTCGTTACCTAAGGGTTCACCTGGTAAGGGGATATGTTTGGCAGTCATGG